AACCACAGCTGCGATGGTTTGGCCATGTGTTGCGGATCCTTCCATATTCGAAAGGCCGAATCAGCTTTTGCCTGCTCAGCCGACTTGCTAAAGACCCTAGGGACGGCCGTGAATAACGTGGTACAAGTGTCTTGATGAACTCTGCTCCAGACTCGGGTTGTCTTTTGCCAAGACTCAAATATTCGCACAGGATCAGAAGATATTGTATGACGTGTTTGTCTCTGCCACCTAAAAAAATATGCGGTCATCGAAACTGACTAAGTGACTAAATTATTTTTATTTTAAGAAAATACGTAAATTAGTGCGTCTTAGCATCTGTCCTCAGTTGATTCTAGCCGACCTAAAGTGCCTTGTTTTTCCAGTACTAATGGCTTGATCGATGTTCATTTCTGTTGTGACGTTCAGTGTCATTTGAACCTTCATATACGTAGATCGGATCGGTTTGTGTTCACAAACCATGTCATGTATCAAACCCAACCAAACCATAATCGTATCCACGCGTATCCCTCATTCTGTTAACGTGATTGTACGAGGTTATAATCATGGTTGCACACTTAATTATTATAACAATAGTCATCAGAACATTTTACTTAAGGAAATGAGGATGATAAGATATTTGTGATTTGTAAGAGTCACATAACGCTAAATCATTCATTATGGTATCTGTCCCGTTTTCGCTAGAATAATGTCTTTTTCTTCATTTCTTAGCGTCACTCTTCCAGTTCCAACGAACCTTTTTCACCTATGTCGGCATGTCCCAAATTTTATGACCCTAAATACATTCTTTTTCAGACCCAGTAGCCTGAAACGCCGGTCCGTGTAGTTTCCGTTGGCTGTTATTAATGTTTATTCGGTTAACATTATTGAATTAATTTAGATATGTAAGATTGAATAAATAAACTTCGAAGTATGTTCGTACGTCATAGTGTATCAGATAACTTATAACTTTTTTAAGACCAGATTTTACATCGTATTGCACCGCCGTTGACTTCTTTGTCTAGGAGAACCATATTTAAGCATAAGCATATCGCGGCTCCATTGTACAAGATGCACTCAAGTTGTTTTGTGGGCTGAAGCCACCGAGCTCTGATTACGGACGATTTTTCAGGGACTGGTACTCCTTATTGGCTATGGAATAAACATAAAAGTATGTTGGTCATATGATGCGAGATGCATCTGACACTGCCTGTGCTCATATATCATGGAGTCATTTCCGACTAAGATGACTTGTTTAGGTAACCTGGAGGAAGGAGACGATGCAATATTGCATGGGATCTGGTGTCGGAAGAGTTATGCGTTGTCTAAGACTGAATTAATTTAAAAAGCTTTTTATTCAAGCAGAACATAAAGCACAGTCTAAGTGTATTTTTTCCTGCATTTTCCCACGACCCTCGATAGCATCTCGCGCGATCCTTATTTAGGTCGCGATTCGGGGTTTAGGAATCATTGACCTATGTGTTCTGTGACGGTGGTCAACCTTTGTTCCTTCTCTACAGGTTGGACATGGATGTTGACATGTTATGAAACCTGACGTTTTGTAACGTAAGAAATATCTAGATTCCCCGTTTTGGAGAAATGGGCAGTAAATGAATACCAAAATTGTTTATCGTTCTCCTTTACCTATGAACTTGATTTTCAGGTTCCAGTCCAAGGGTTCGCTGGACAAGGACAGACAGAACGGAACGACGGTGGACGACGGTGAGAAAACTATGAACGCGGTGGATAACGCCGGCTTCTTGGCAGCTTCCTACGGGAGCGACGGCGCCATGCGGGAAGGAAGCAATGGACATTACGACGTGAACGGGGCGACGATGGTGGGCAAAGGTTATGACGAGAACGAGTTGTGGCTTTCGCACAGCGGTGACTACCGTCTTCAGAACCCGTCAGCTTACGGCGGTTACCAGGAGACCTTCGACAGTGGCTACGGCCACTACGGTCAATTTGCGCCTTCTTATGATCCAGCTGGCTTGTACTCTGATATTTACCGCCAGAACATGGTGGACATGAACCCGGCCGGTGGCCAGTCGATCGGCCGAGACGGCTCCGTTCATTCGTCGTTTTCGACCCCCTCGCAGCAGAAGCGGGTCATAAGGGAAATCATCGTTTAGTTTCGCTAGTTCCGGACTTCGACCTGTAACGTGGTTTACGCTTTAGCGACTTCCACTCGCAACGTTACATCAGTGGCATGTGCAACGCCGTATTGGCGTCGACATTCAGAATCTCGTGGAACAAACAGAAGCATAAAACGACTCTTGTACCCCGTTTTCCTCAGTCCCTCTGTTGCTTCTGTAATAATGTCGTTGATCGGCTTGATTTCAGGTGCTTTCTTTCGTGTAATCACGGCATTATATTGTTTCTTGTTTATCGTTTGAAATGTTTTTGTTGTTGTATATTATGCATCTCTGTTTTAGTTTTGGTATCACTGTATCTGTATTATGTATCAAAGGACCAAACAACACGCGCTGCCTTCGTTACAAACCGGGAACCGTACTGATTGCTGTATATTTGTATTTTGTTGTAGCATCGATTCGTCCGTTCTCATATACTACTTAAAAATAAAATGATGATAGACGTATTAATTGTTTACGCTTTGGAACAAATTATGATGCTGAAGCGATTTGATTTATAAACGTTCAAGACATATTCGTTTATCCTATAAGTAGCTGTCAGCAGCAGAGGTCATTTTCAACAAATTTAACTACTTACAATACACTGGATTTAAGTGCGGTGGCGAAAGAATACAGCGGCAGTATCGAAATTTCCCCCAGGACATTTGTCATTCGTTCGCTTGCTGAACATGGTAAAATCCTTCGGTTGAATATGCCTTTGATTCACCCAAGTTTGAGATGCGGTGCTGGGTTCTATGAATTGCACTGCAGGCGGTTAAATACCGTATGTCGTGATCTGCATGAATGGTCCCCCTTGGCTACTAGAAACAATGGGACAGCGTAATAGAGCTGCTGTTGCAAACTGAGAAATACATTTTTCATTCATTCATTCTTTGCACTGCATTATCGCCGTTTCAATCTGGTATCACTGTTTTTTATGTGAGGAAATGAGAACTCAATGAAATAGAAGCAGACTGCGAAAAGTCGGCGATCAGAACCTGCTCATTGCCCTCTGCCAGCCGGGGGCGTGGCAGCA